TTCCATTGGAGCTCTGGTAACATAGTTCCTAAGGCACTTGACTGCTAACTAGAAGGCTGGTGGTTCAAACCCACCAGCCACTCCTCGGAAGAAAAGTTGGCAATCTACTTCTGTACTGATACCACCTTGGAAACCCAAGGAGAGGTCGCTATGAGTCAGGTCTGACTCAACAGCACCTAACAACAACAGTATATGGCATAAATAGACTATCAAGCATAACCTAAAATGCACAAACAGCAGAAGAGAAACTAGATGAATGTGACATTCTAAAAATTAAATTTTTATATGTTTCCAAAGACTTCTCCAAGAGAGTCAAAAGAGAACCTACAGATTGGGAAAAAATATTTGGCAATGACATGTCTGACAAGGGATTCATCTCTAGAATTTATAGAAAACTCCAACACCTCAATAACAAAAAGACAAATAATCCGCTTAAAAAAATAGGTAGAAAACATGAATAGACACTACACCAAAGAGGATATTCAGGCGGCCAACAAACATATGAAAAAATGCTCATGATCATTAGCCATTAGAGAGATGCAAATCAAAACAATAATAAGATACCATTTTGCCCCAGCACTAGTAGCAAAGTTCAATAAGACAGAAAATAACAAATGCTGACAAGGTTGTGGAAAGATTGGGACTCTCATACACTGCTAGTGGGACTAAAATGGTACAACCACTGTGGAAAGCAGTATGGCGATTCCTTAAAATGTTGGAATTAGAAATACCATTTGACTCAGCCATTCCATTACTAGATATATATCCTAAAGAAGTGAGAGCAATGACAAGATCAGACATATGCACACCCATGTTCATTGCAGCATTTTTTACAATAGCCAAAAGATGGAAACAACTTAGGTGTCCATCAGCTGAGGAATGGATAACCAAACTATGGTACATGCACACAATGGAATACTATGCAACCCTAAAGAGTAACATAGAATCTGCAAAACACTGCATAACATGGATGAACTTGGAGGACATTATGCTGAGTGAAATAAGTCAATCACAAAGGACAAATATTATCTGTTAGTCTGTTATTTTAAAAGTCAAGGAAAGTCTTATCTATGGAGGAAAATTTTTTTTGTTAGTTACCAGGGGTAGGAGGGGAGGGGAGGGAACACTGTTCAATAGGTAGAGATAAGTATTAATTTGGGTGAAAAGAAGGGCAGTGTACCAAGTGATCAGCATGGTGGCATCGAGGAAGAGGAAGACATAGAGAGGTACGTGGGAGGTACAGACAACAAAAATGAACCCTTTTACACATACAGTACTACATTGTCAGTGAAGACAAGCATGGATATATGGTTGGATAGATGGGTGGACAGGCTGAACTATTAGGTATGTCTATGCAGCAGGGAGTATACCCAAGACCATGTATAGGGTTGGCAGACAATAGTTCTACAAGTGTATTTGTATGTTCTGTAAGAATTCCCAGGTGTATAGTAGAGCTGACAAGGGACAAGGTTGTAGTCACTTCTTGGTTAAAGCCAGCTAACCAGAGGGACAGAGTAGTTGAACCTGTGGGCTCAGGACCATAGTCACAGGGGATATCAAGCTCAATTGGCAAAACGTTGTTCCACCTGCTACTTTGATGAGTAGCAACTGGGATCTTAAAAGTTTGCAAGCAGTCATCTAGATGCCAGGATGGGTCTCTCCTCATCCATAGCAAAGAAGAATGCAGAAAACCAAAGATTCATGGAAACAATTAGTCCTAACAACTGGTACACCATGTGATCTGCAGCTTATACAACTATGGGACCAGAAGAACTAGATGGTGCCCGACTACTACTGTCAACCACTTGGAGGGGGATGTATGTAAGAGATCCTGGATAGAGAAAGAGAACAATGTGGAACAAAACTCAAAATCATTTGGGGGGAAAAAGGGGGGACCAGTTTTGCTGGTCTAATAGAGCCTGGGGAACCACTGAGACTATGGCCCCTAGCTTCCCTTCAGGTCTGGAATTGAACCCATACCTGTGGTTTCCAGCCAAACAAAAGACAGGCATAGGAGTTGAACATTTACCTGAGGTAGATACACTCCTTGGAGAGAACAATCATGGGAGAAAGAAGGGCTGCTTATGCACAGGGAGACAGCTCAGGGGGCAGGAGTGCATGGAGGGATGGACACAGGGAAGAGGTAACTATCAGGAAGAAGTGGGAGGGGAGTTGTTACATTGGAGTAAACTGTAGTCAATGTCATGAGACAAAGTGTATGTGAACTGCTGTATGGAAAGTGAATTTTCTCAGTAAACTTTCACCCAAATCACAATTTAAAAAAAAAAAAATCGAAAGCCAGTAAATCTTGACATTTTGATTGTCAATTTTTTTTTTTTATTGGCTTAGCTTGGCTTATTTTACTGATTATGTCTTTAAAATTCCTCTTAAAATGATATAGCATATACATATATTAGAAAATCCCTAAACAGTTTCATGTTTGTAACTGGTAATCAGTTACCTAAGTTTTACTGATAATGACATCATCATGATTAAAAGAAGAATTTTTTGACAATGTTTGCTATTTTTGGTGATTGGACACAAAATAATATCCCTTGTATAGTATTTTAAATTTCTTTCAAGTATAATTCTATGAGCCAAATGTTTAGAATGAATGCACGTTAGTTTGGTAAAACACTGAATGTTATAACAAGTATTTATGAAACGTAAACCCTATTTCTACCTATAACATGTGTTGAAGAAACCAAAACTACATTTCTTTCATTTTATAATTTATTAAACCAGCTTGGTATTGCCAATAATTTCTTTCTTATTGACAAAGACCTTATATATTTGTCTTGTTTGTTTTGTCCATCAATAAAAAAGCAACAGCTAAAATGTGGTCTATCAGTCTCTTCAGCAGTGTATTGTCTGACTACCCTCTCCTCCTGAAACATGCTCCTCCATTAACCAGAGTGTTTCTTAACCAGGTGATTCTTCTCAATGGCATTCACCATTATTGCCCCCAAATTGGAGAGGGAAGGATTTCTAGGGAATCCATGCACCTATTACTTTACAAAGAGTAGTCTGATAGTTCTTTTTTCAGAATATCCACAAGATCAGCCTCATTCCCCTGCAAGTTTGCCTAGAATTTTTATTTGGATTATCATAGAAGGAAAGTGGGGGGTAGGTAGATACAGAGGTGATAGGAGCAGTGAGTATACTGCACACCTCAGTTCTTTTCACGTCTGAATCAGTTCTCCTATTTCTCTTATTTGTTAACTCAATTGAGGAGACTAGGGAGGTGGTAGAAAGAACCTAGACTTAGAGTCAAAGACCTGGGTTCTAGATTCTACTCCTCTACTAACATGGTGAATGATACAGAGAGCCACTAAAAGGCCTACTCTGAGTCAGATATTGTGCTGGTTAAAATTATACTTGGAATCTCTAATCTGCATAACAATGTGTCAGGTCAGTATTATAGCCCAGTTAACCAACAAGGAAACTAAGGCTCAGAAAGGTTAAGTATTTTACAAGTTTCTGATCCTCATCTGTGAAATGAAGAAATTAAACAACTTAAATTCTAATGTCCCTTATGATTATCCTTCCTTATTTTCATCCTTGTGCCCTTCTTTTGCCTCTTCTGTCTTTTCCTGTGGTTTTGTATTGGCAGTGGTGGTTTTTGTTGTTGTTTTCTTTCTTCCCCTCTTTGTCACCTCACAACTGATACTCTTCTAATTTTGTGTTTGGAGATTAATATAAATTCCTTAGTAGAAACAGTTTCTATTCACTTATGATCATACCCCTGCTTGAATAATGCTACAATAATAAGTCTAAAGCTATAGAAGGAGCTCTGGTAGCATAGTGCCTAAGGCATTTGACTGCTAACCAAAAGGCTGGTGGTTCAAATCCACCAGCAATTCCTCTGAAGGAAGATTGGGCAATCTACTTCCCTAGAGATACTGCCTCGGAAACCCAAGGAGGGGTTGCTATGAGTTGAACTGACTCGACGAACCTACTTCCTTGCCCTAGCCTAGAAAATGTACATTCTTCCTAGCTCCAATTTTGCCCTATATTGTCACTCTATTAGTTAATACTTGTTCATGCATTAGTTTACTGAATAAACATTTATTGATGACTCACTGTATGACTGAAACTATACTCTGGGCTCACAGAACAAAGAGTGAGAGTCTGTCCTTGTCCTTAGGAGCTCTCATAGTTAAAATTGTTCAACCAACTTACTATTACAACTTGTGACGTATCTTTGGAAACACACACACACACACACACACACAAAATCTTCAAATAAAGGCACAGAGTTCCATATCTTATTTTAAAAATACATTAAAACCAACAGCAAATTATTACTGTATTTTAGGTAATATTATGGGAAATTATCTTTTTTTTTTTTTTTTTTTTTTTATTCGGTAACCTACTGGAGCCAATTCAGCCAATACAGGAAAACCAATTGTTAGCATCTCTTCCCAATTCCATGTTTAGTGATATCACATTAGTTGCCTGAAACCAGACATCATGAAGAATTTATAGCAAGGAATTCAGCAAATTATATAAATCAGGAATTTTTGCCTCCAGAGACCCAGTGGTCAAACACTCTCACCAGTATACTACTGAACCCACTGCCATCAAGTTGATCTCAACTCATAACGATCCTATAGGACAGAATAGAACTGCCCCATAGAGTTTCCAAGGCTGTAAATCATTATGGAAGCAGATTGCTTAATCTTTCTCCCACAGAGCAGCTAGTGGGTTCAAACAGCCAAACTTTTGGTTAGCAGCCAAATGCCTTAACCACACAGCACCACCAGAGCTCCTGCACACTGCTGAGTGGCACTTAAATTCCTAGGAAAGTAGCTTTCTCATGGATGCCTCTCAAAATCTTTTGTAAGCTAAAAATTGTTCAATTGCCACATCTTATAACCTGCATATTATTTCTATAACATTAGTTGGAGTTTGGAGTTGGGAAAGTCCAAATGAACTTCCTTCATTTACTGAGCTCAGAAGCCACTCATATCATCACCATTCACTGTCTAAACACCCCAGTATGGACAAGTGGACAGAGAAGTGGCTCAGGACTGAGCATCGGTTTCAAGGGATGGAATGGACAGATTTTTGAAGAAAACACTCTACTTGAACCTAAAGTGCTCTCAGATGACTGCAAGGTAAGGGAATGGAACATTTAGAACTGTTCAACATGACTAACTTAAAATTGATAAAACCATAAAATAGAATAATGAGAGTAAGACTTTAATTGCAAACTGCAGATACAGAGGATAGTAGGTTTCACGTGCCTGACTTGTAACCATACATTTCTCAGTATGGATCATTTGCGTATTTCATGCCTTGTCAACTTTTATCACTCCAATTGGTCATCATGGACTTTTACATCAAAATATGTTTTAATACATAAAAATTCATTTTTATTCTCCCCTATGAAATATCCCACATTGGTAAACAGGTAGTCAGAGCATATACATTAGACTTCTTTCATGTATTTTCACTGGTGTGATCTACATCTCATTATCTCATGAAAAACCACTTATGGAGGTAAACTAATTTTATTTCATTTTTTCAGCTCCATGCCTGATACCAAATACAGGTATAATTACACATTGAGTATGGCTACTCATCAGTATGTGAATTATAGCCCGTTTTTTCTATTGAAGTTAAATCATGAATGTGATGGAAAATCTATCATTTTAAAACACTATGTTACTGAGCAGGTATCAGAAAACTATGGTCCACAGACTAAATCCAGCCCACCATCTAATTTTGTAAATAAATTTTTATTGAAACACAGCCATACTCTTTTACTATAAACAGTGTCTGTTTTCGTTACAATGTGAGAGTTGAGTAGATGTGGCAGAAACTGTACAATCAAAAATAACTGAAATGTTTACTATATGGCCCTTTCCCATAAATTTTTGCTGACTCCTGGTAGAGAAAGTAGAGTTGTCCAAGTTATGTACATATCATTAATTACTGTAAGTAGCATGATTTCCTGCTCTTGTGCCCTACGAAACCCATGATTTAGCATTTCCTGCTATGTCTAATCCTTAACATAAATCTGCACTGACTAGAAAGGGTGTTGTCTGCTGAAAATGACTGCTAATGAAACAGTTACATATAAAAGTATTTTATTCTTATTTTATAGATTCAAGATGGCAGCTGGCATAAGACAAAATTCTTTTTTCACACCCAAGACCCTAGTCAACTTCCAGTGGTGGAAGTACAAAAACTTGCTCATCTCAAGACTGGATGGAAGTACTACATTGAAAGCAGTTCTGTGTGCTTCCTCTAAAGTCTCTGAATTAGCTCAGAATTCACGCTGTCGGCCAGGTTATTGCTGCAGAGGGAAAAATATAGACAAAGAGATACTATCATTGTGTAGTGCATGGAATTAAGCATTGGCTAAATCTTAAAGAATCTCAGGAAGAAAAGACTTCCTCCTTAAGAAGGAGAAAAGGCATTTTATAAAGGACTATGATTCATAAAGTATTTAATTCTTTTAAAAAGTCTATTGAGCTGAGCTTTCTTAAGAGAATTCCCTAGAACAGAACATTTATGAACTCAGAATTCTTCAGGGTATCCTATATGTTTTGACTGTCTGATAGCAAAGTATCCATTAGACAGCTGGAGATGCAGAGCATTCTGGAGCAATACTGGCTAATGCTCCCAAATGTATACTGCTTCTGTCTAAAAATTATAAGCCACAGTCTCATCTGTCTTATTTTCCCAAACACTAAGCTGTATTCAAGTCCCCAACGGGCATGTACATCTTAGCCAGTGGTACACTACCTCTTACGTGTTGCCTTTTTGTGTGCTTGGTGCTCTTTCTTAAACAAGGTGCTTGTGGCTTTCATAGACTATTTTATTTCTTTTTTCGTCTTTGTCCTTCTTTAAGAGTGTATGTACTGATTACATCAAGATATGTTTTGGTTGTTAGTACTTATTTTGTTTGGACACATCATAATAACAAGTAAAACATTATTTATGTGAAGCCCTTTTTCTGTTTTAAAATTCTCTTTGTGGATATAGAATCAAAGCCAGCACATTGTATTCTGTGCTGCACACAAGTGAAGTAGGAGGTTTCTTTTTTGTTTGTTTGTTTTATTTTTTTTAATTGTTGTAATATATATATATATATATATATATATATATATATATATATATATATATATATATTATAGGCCAGCTACATCCAGTAGTAGGTTTGTGTTAGAGTTTGGGGATTATAATGTACTATTTTAAAAATCCATGATCATCTGGAATGATATGTCATGTATATATATTTTGTAAAGTTTTAATTCAGCAAACTTTTGAAATTGCTGCTGTTTTAAATTATAAAAAAAAAAACCTTATATTTCTGCCTTGTAGAATATGTTTTTTAGTATTCATTGGTTTTCTTTCACTGTTCTTAAGTGATAAGAATTAAAACATTCAGTTCATCACTCTTGAAAGCAACATCAGGGAAAAAGAAAGTCTTTTGCCATCTAAAACAGGCTCACTTCAGTTTTCCCTTGTTGTCAGACAAGTGTCAGTTCAGCATTGAAAGAAAAATAGTATACCTCTCATTATATAGAAAAGCTTATTCATCCATTTAAGCAAGCCTAGCCACAGCAAACCACATTTACCCATCTATAATAAAAAATGTGCTTTAAATCAATTGGGTAGTATTTGTTATTCTTCTTTGGTTCCCATATTCCTTTCGTTCTGTTTATACATCTCTTCTGTACGTTTACCTTACATGTACAATGACATCTGATTGCCTGTTTGAGGAAGATGTTTTCAAATAAAAAAACACAGTTTGGTTCTAAATGAAAGAAACTGTAGCCTACGCTCTAGCTTCAGTCTCTGTTACACCTCTGTTCAAAAAAACCAAAACCAAAACAAAATTTAAAAATACCTTAGTTCAGAGAGTGCTTTTCCTAGAGAGATCATTTAAGAAATAAATACAGAGCATAAGTGCCATGTTTTATCTCTTGTGTTCTTGAAGTTTGAGATTTAAAGCAAATTTTAATCAATTTGCAGGCATACCTTTTTATTGTACTTCATTATTGCATTTCACAGGTATTGCATTTTTTATAAATTGAAGTTTTGTGACAACCCTGCATGAAGAAAGTCTATTGGCACCATTTTTCTGAGAGCATGGGCTCACTTTGTGTTGGTGTCATATTTTGGTAATTCTTAAAATATTTCAAACTTTTTCATAATGCTACTGCACACTTAGTAGACTACAATCAGTGTAAATATAACTCATCTGTGCTGGGAAGCCAAAATATGTGTGACTTGTTGTATTGCAGTATTTGTTTTATTGTATTGGCCTGGAATCACACTGAGACCCCTCCTTGGGTTTCTGAGGTGGTATCACTATGGAAGTAGATTGCCCAACCTTCCTTCTGAGGAGTGGCCGGCAGGTTTGAACCACCAGTCTTCTGGTTAGCAGTCAAATACCTTAGGCACTACGCCACCAGAGCTCCTATAATCATAGGCAGTATAGTTAAAAGTACCATGAGACTTAGCTATATGACTTTGGATGTATTATTTATTCTTCAGTGTCTCAATTTCTTCACTGTAAAATGGGGTGATGGGTAAGGAGTTATGGTGGCATAGCATTCAGCTGCTAACCAAAAGATTGGCAGTTCAAACCCACCAGCCACTGTGTGGGAGAAAGATGAGGCAGTTTGCGTCCTTAAAGATTTGCAGCCTTGGAAATCCTTATATGGCAGTTCTACTCTGTTCTGTAGGATCACTGTGAGTTGGAATTGACTTGATGATGTGGGTTTGGTTTGGAAAATGGGATAATAAAATTACCACCACTCATCTGTCAGTTTGTTTTCCTGAGTTGCCTTGCATGTAGTTGTGATGTAGGAAGCTATGCCACCAGTATTTCAAGTATCAGTAGGCTCTTCTGTGGTGAACAGGTTTCAGCAGAGCTTCCAGCCTAAGATAGGTTAGTGAAGAAGGTCTTGGTGTTGGTGATCTACTTTTAAAAATAATGGCCAGTGAAAACCTTATGAATAGGAGCAGAACTTTGCCTCATATAGTACTGGAAGATGAGTCCCTCAGGGCAGAAGACACTTAAAACATAACTGGGGAAGAACCGCCTCCTCAAAGAAGACTCAAGCTTCATGACATGGAGTAAATCTTTTAGGACATTCATTAGCATGCCTTAAAATGAGAAGGAATAGTTGCGAATGATCAGAACGTGGATGGGCAAAGTATGATTCTAGGAATATTGGAAGTTATCTAAAATTAAACAGAATGCACAAAGATTGATATCCTAGGCATTAGTGAGCTGAAATGGACTGGCATTGAACATTTTGAATTGGATAATCATATGGTCTATTGTGCCAGAAAAGACAAATTGAAGAGGAACGATTTCACATTCACTGTCAAAGAGAACTTTCAAGATCTGTCCTGAAGTACAATGCTGTTAGTGATAGTGTGGTGGTTAAGTTTTTGTGTCAACTTGGCTGGGCCTGGTTGAATGGCTGGGCAGCTGGATGTAGTATTCCCCATGATGAGACTGGTAATCAACTCCATGGTAGAATCTACTGTGAGCAGCTGAGTAGCTGCTTTAGGGATGTGGTCTGCTTCCTGTATATAAGGAGAAGCCTTGGGGATAGTCTGTAGCTTATGGCATGCTTGGATCCTGCATGTAGCTGTGTTGTTGTTCAGCACCCTGCCGTGTTCTGCAGACCTTGGGACTTTCAATGGACTTGAATTAATGGCCTGTTGTGTGGTTTGGTAACATTGGGAGTGTGCCTTTTTACTTGTCAACCTTGGGTTTCTCAGTCTCAGCAGCCAGCAGCTGTCTGAGTGAAGAAAATCCTCTAGCTCCTGTGGGCCAGGAGCAGGAGGCAGAGCTGAACCCCAAGGTTGAGGGGCTTTCACCCAGCCCCTAGAGTCTGGCACTTTGAACTCAGACTTCTAGCCTCCCAAACCGTAAGAGAGTAAACTCCTGTTTGTTCAAGCCATCCATTTGTGGTATATCCTTGTCAGAGTGGCACTAGGTAACCAAAACAGATAGTATAGTATTTATGTGCCTACAAAGAAGACCGGTTAATATGAGTGTTACTCAAATTTATACCCACCAACCACTAAAGCCAAAGATGAAGAAATTTAAGATTTTTACCAACTTTCTCAGTCTGAAATTGATCAAAGGTGCAATCAAGATGCATTGATAATTATTAGTATTGCAATGCAAAAGTTTGAAATGAAGAAGGATCAGTGTTGGAAAATACAGCCTCGGTGTTGGAAATGATGCCAGACATTGCATGATAGAATTCTGTAAGACCAACAAATTCTTTATAAAACTACCATTTTTTTCACCAATGTAAATGATAACTATACATGTGGACCTCACTGGATAGAATACAGAGGAATCAAATAACTATGTCTGTGGAAAGACACAATGGAGAAGACAAATATCATCAGTCAGAACAAAGCCATGGGCTGACTGTGGAACAGACCATCAGTTGCTCATATGCAAGTTCAAGATGAAACTGAAGAAATTCAAAACAAATCCAGGAGAACCAAAGTACAACTTTGAGTGTAACCAAAACCACACCAAACTCACTGCCATAGAGTCAATTCCAACTCATAGTAACCCCCATTGGGTTTCTGAGGCAGTAAATCTTTATGGAAGTAGATTGCCTCATCTTCCTAACATGGAGCAGCTGGTGGGTTGAACTGCCAACCTTCTGGTTAGCAGCCAAATACCTTGTCCACTATATCACCAGAGTACCTTACTTTGAGTATATTACACCTGAATTTAGAGACCATCTCAAGAATAGGTTTGAAGCAATGAACACTAATGACCAAGAAGCAGATGAGTTGTGGAATGACATCAAGGACATTATCCATGAAGAAATCAAAAGATCATAAAAAAGACAAGAAAGAAAAAAAAGACCAAAATGGATGTCAGAAGAGACTCTGACTTGCTTTTGTACACAGAGTAGCTAAAGCAAAAGGAAGAAATGATGAAGTAAAAGAGGTGAACAGAAGATTTCAAAAGGTAGCTTGAGAAGACAAAGGAAAGTATTACAACAGAAGTATTATTATAAAAACTGGGGTTAGAAAACTAAAAGGGAAGAACACCCTTGGCATTACTCAAGCTGAAAGAACTGAAGGAAAGACTTCAAGCCTCAAGTTGCAATACTGAAGGATTCTCTGAGAAAAATATTGAACGACACAGGAAGCACCAAAAGAAGACAGAAGGAATACACAGAGTCACTGTACCAAAAATAATTCATCGATGTTCAACCATTTCAGGAGGTAGTATATGATCAAGAACCA